GTCCACGGTGAAAGTTGATGTATTTCCTCAGCGACCAGCACGGATCAGCTCCAGGCATGATGTAGCGGATAGTGTCCTCTTTTGGAAGGCCAAACAAAGTAGTTTCGCTTTCACAACGAAACACACAGCATCTCCATGACATGGCGGCAACAACATTACTAAAGCGAGAATAAAAGTTAGCCTTCTTTCTTTGCGTGAACATTTGGGCGGCATTATGCTAATATTTCCACATAGTGATGTAAATATGTGGGGGCGTGTTAGAACGAGCCGTTTTAGGCGTAGTTGACTCTTAACTTTTATAAAGAATATCTCTTTGGATTTGAGACTTTAGTCTTTGCAACTTTACAGATCTTCTTTATGCACCAAGAGCTTGTAACACTCCAAAGAGAAAGGACAAATTGAAATCGCATCATATAACCCTTTTTAAAATGATGTGATGTACTTGATTCTGGTATTAATTTAACTAACTGAATCCCAACTTGAAAACAAAAATCATACAACCTAGAGTAGAGTACAGTGCATCCGGAAAGTATTCACGGTGCTTCACTTTGTCCACATTTTGTTATGTTACAGCTTTATTCCAAAATGGATTAAATTAATTATTTTCCTCAAAATTCTACAAACTATACCCCAAAATGACAACGTGAAAGAAGTTTGTTTGAAATCTTTGCAAGTAAAAAAAAAAACACACACACACGTACATAAGTATTCACAGCCTTTGCTCAATACTTTGTTGAAGCACCTTTGGCACCAATTACAGCCTCAAGTCTTTTTGAGTATGATGCTACAAGCATGGCACACCTATTTTTGGACAGTTTCTCTCATTCTTCTTTGCAAGACCTCTCAAGCTCCATCAGGTTGAATGGGGAGCGTCGGTGCACAGCCATTTTCAGATCTATCCAGAGATGTTCAATCGTGTTCAAGTCTGGGCTCTGGCTGGGCCACTCAAGGACATTCACAGAGTTGTCCCATAGCCACTCCTTTGTTATCTTGGCTGTGTGCTTAGGGTCGTTGTCCTGTTGGAAGATGAACCTTCACCCAAGTCTGAGGTCCAGAGTGCTCTGGAGCTTGTTTTCATCAAGGATGTCTCTATACATTGCTGCATTAATCTTTCCCTCGATCCTGACTAGTCTCCCAGTTCCTGCCGCTGAAAAACATCCCCACAGCATGATGCTGCCACCACCATGCTTCACTGTAGGGATGGTATTGGCCAGGTGATGAGCGGTGCCTGGTTTCCTCCAGACATGACGCTTGCCATTCAGGCCAAAGAGTTCAATCTTTGTTTCATCAAAATTTTGTTTCTCATGGTCTGAGAGTCCTTCAGGTGCCTTTTGGCAAACTCCAGGCGAGCTGTCATGTGCCTTTTACTGAGGAGTGGCTTCCATCTGGCCACTCTACCATACAGGCCTGATTGGTGGAGTGCTGCAGAGATGGTTGTTCTTCTGGAAGGTTCTCCTCTCTCCACAGAGAATCGCTGGAGCTCTGATCAGAGTGACCATCGGGTTCTTGGTCACCTCCCCGACTGAGGCCCTTCTCCCCCGATTGCTCAGTTTGGCCGGTGGTTCCAAACTTCTTAAATGTTATGATTGGATTCCCCACCATGTGAACACACAAATTTCCTGTGCTGATATAAACAAAATATAAACTGGGGTGAAACATGACCTGGACATATTTAAGTGAGCATTACATAAAATATACAGTGACTACATTAATTTTAGGACCCCTTTTAGATAGAATTATTATTTAAGAGTTTTCATACCATAGGTGGACAAACTGACGTGTGAACTGGAGAGAAGTTGAGAGCTGGGCCGTGTGATAGTTCATGTAGACATGGACACCTTCTATGCTGCTGTCGAAATGAGAGACTGTCCGGAGCTGAAGGACAAACTGATGGCAGTGGGATCCATGAGCATGCTGGTGAGAATCTAAAATAAACCTCGCAGAACATCGTCACATACAGCGGGTATAGAAAAGAATCACCCCTTTAAAATAATCACTTTTGTTGCTTTGCAGCCTGAAATGAAGACAGACACCGTTTTTGTTTTATCCAGCTGGATTTACTTAGTGCAACTTATAACATCCAAGTGAAAGATATAACACCAACATGTCTGAAAAATAAATTAAAATACAGAATCAAACAAAATGTGATAATTTTAAAGGGGGGTGATTCTTTTCTGTACCCACTGTATCTACAATGTTGACATTTTAAATGATCATTTTCAGTCAACCTCCAATTACCACTCTATAAGGTTTGGTGTTCTGCTGCCATGCCAGGGTTCATTGCGAAGAAGCTCTGTCCAAATCTTTTCATTGTGCTGACTAACTTTGACAAATACAGAGCAGTAAGTGCCCAGGTATTTTGTATATCAGTCCTGCATTATTCAATTGTCATAGCTACTGTTTGTTAATGCCTGGGTCTGTCTTAAAGGTGTGAGAGATATTTTCAGAATATGACCCTCATTTTATGCCTATGAGTCTTGACGAGGCTTGTCTGGATATCACTGAGTGAGTCACGTGATGTGACATGTGGCCAAGTATGGTGACTCTTGGGCAGCCATTTTTGCTGCGGGGGTCAGTGCCTTGCTCAAGGGCACCTCAGTCGTGGTATTGAAGGTGGGAGAGAGCACTGTACATCCACTCCCCCCACCTACAATCCCTGCCAGTACGAGACTCAAACCCACAACCTTTGGGTCACGAGTCCGACTCTCTAACCATTAGGCCACGACTGCCCCACTGAGCAGCGGAAGCACTGGCCCGAGACCATGCAAACATATTGCATCTGTGATAAGACAGGTGCATTACTGTAGTCTACTGTCTAGTGCAGGGGTTTTCAAGCTGGGGTCGGTAAAGGTGTGCTTGAGGGGTGCGTGCTGAGGAAAAGTTTAGAGATACACTGTGTATAAAAAAAGTCTAAATAAATAATAATAGTTAATTTAAAAAAGGATTAAATAAATGAAAAGTGTATTTAAATAAATAATAATACATAAAGCTTACAAAGCATGAGCATTGAGAGGTAATCTGCTCAAAGTTGTTTTCAGTCTTCATCACATACATCAGATGCAAACATTGTATTTAAATCAAGTAAGAAATAAATAAAATTAATCTTACAGTACTATAGGAAGTAGAAAAAAGTATAATTTTCCAAATATTATTTTACACACATTTATAATATTAATTTTTCACAGTATAAATTGGGTCTTTATACAGACATTTGTACATTTTAGGATGGGGGTCCCTCACACGAGGATGATAATATTTGGGGGTCCATAGCGTCTAAAAGATTAAAAATCCCCGGACTAGTAGACTTTAAAAAGAGGTCCAATTTTTACTTTGTGAAAGCGTTGACAATGAAAGTGTGTCTTTTATTATGAGTGGTTACAGTAGCTTGATTTATGTTTTTTATCCTGTTCTTTAAAATAAAATGATACAGACAAGTCTACAGCTGAATCAGAGAAAGATGAACTGTCTCCTGTGCTGTTTGAGGACAGTCCCAGCTCCTCGCCCTCTCTTTCAGGGGCTCATAGGAAAGCAGAGGTGTTTGGGACGAGTGCAGAGGAGGCTGTGAGGGAGATGCGCTTCCGTATTCAGCAGAAAACATCTCTTACTGCCAGTGCAGGTGAGAGACTGGATAGTTTGTTTAGTGATTTACACTTAAATGCAGAAGTAAGCATATACAGTCTTCCCACATTATGTAAGAAATGTAGAGTATTTATTTCCTTGTTTGAGCTCTCTTATTGGCATCGCCCCAAACATGATGCTTGCAAAAGTATGCAGTGATAAGAACAAGCCCAATGGCCAGTACCGAATTCCTCCTGAGAGACAAGCTGTGATGGAGTTTATGCAGGATCTTCCTGTCAGAAAGGTCTGTCTGACTCGTTTATCTCTAAGTCGTATAGCTCATTAATGTGACCTAATATTATTGTTTATTTATTCCAG